TCACAGCTCCTCCTGCTCACAAGTCTATTTCTCCTGAAGCTACATCCTCTCATAGAAGTGATTGGTCATGCCAAAACTGGTTTGGCTCAGTGGTAGAGCATCGGTCCCAGGTTTGATTCCGGTCAAGGGCATGTACATTGGTTGTGGGCACATCCCCAGTAGTGGGTGTGCAAGCGGCAGCTGGTCGATGTTTCTCTCTCATAGATGTTTCTAGCTCTCTATCCCTCTCTCCTCCTCTCTGTAAAAAAATCAATAAAATATATTTAAAAAAAAAAGAAGAAGTGATTGGTCACTCTTTCATCCACAGGGATGTGGGGTCCCTTGGTTACTGGGTACCTCTGACCCCCTGGAAAGCACAGAAGCTCTGAAAGCAGACCCAGTGGTACAGTTCATAGTCCTACCCATCCCACCCTCACCAAGGCCCTGTCCAGTCTCAGCCAGGCTCTTCCTGAAGCACAGGGTCTCTTACCTTTAGGTCCTAGTGTCTAGGAGCTTAGGTTTTACAGGAGAGCCAGAGAGTAAACAAGTAAGAAGCACATCACTGGATTAGTCACAGAGTAAGGTCAGGGCTATAAGTGACATGAGCACAGTGCTAGCACAGAGAATGGGATGGGGATGAGTGGTCAAAAGGAGACCTCTCTGCAAAAAAGATGTTTAGGCTAAACCAGAGGGAAGCATTTCAGGTTTATGAAACAGCAAATGCAAAAGTCCTGAGGCCAGAAATGGCTGTGCAGGACCCAGTATGGCCATAGTCCAGCATGGCCGGAGCACAGGGGGACAAGAGTGTCATAAGGTGGGCCAGGAGTGGAAGCAGAGTCCAGGCAAGAGCTCCCTGGCGGCCAAGTTGAGGAGTCTGAGCAAAGAGCCTCGCTCATCAGCTCTGATTTGGGCTTGGTGGAGAGGAGATAATCAGCTCTGATTTGGGTTTGGTGGAGGGGAGATAATCAAACACTCTGGGATGGGGGAAGTAAGAATAAACACAGCCCTCTGTGGGAGCATTGACGACAAACTGCAAAGGCTTCTCCACTCACCACTTTAGTGAGAAGTTGTTTCCTGAAATAGAATGGTTGTCTGTAAGGTAAACTGATGCCATTGCAACTTGTTCTAAGGTTTTATTTACTCTGTGGCGTTTATTAAAATGAAGCCAGCCGCCCTGGCCTCATTATAAGAAAGGTATTCACAGTTCCTTTTAAAAGCATTAAAACTTTTTTCCCTAGCCCAGCCAGCGTGCTCAGTGGTTGAGTTTTGACCTATGAATCAGGAGGTCACAATTCGATTCCCAGTCAGGGCAAATGCTTGGGTTGTGGGCTCAGTCCTCAGTGGGGGACACGCAGAAGGCAGCCAGCCAATCAATGATTCTTTCTCATCATTGTTTCTAGCCCTCTCTTTCCCTCTCTGAAATCAATAAACTCTTTTCTAACTGTTTAATATATATATATATATATATATATATATATGTATGTATATGTATATATGTATATATGTATGTATATGTATATATGTATATATATATTTTTTTTAACTCTTTTTTCTAACTGTTTACATTTTCAGCAGCTCTTAAGTGGATTGAAAGTGAGCAGACTTTATGTTTGTGAGTTCAAGAGAGGCATTGATTTATTTTAGTAATTTGGATTTGGAATTTAATTTCCATTTTCTTTGTTCCTTCCTTTTTGTTCTCTCTCTTTCCTTAACACACACACACACACACACACACACACACACACACACACACGGCCCCATTCTATCCCTAAGACATCCCAAAGCAAAATAAGCTTAGAACAAGCTCTGAGACTTGTAAGATACCCCCAAGGTGTGGTGCTGCTGAGGCGCTTCAGTTGTTGCGCAGTGAGTACCTAGCTGGACATTTATTTGTACCAGTCAAGCAGGGTGTGGACAATCAGAAGAGAAAAATAGTATTTGTTTCTGCAGTTTGAACAAAATTAACAATAGAAAACGTGAACATGTTTGGAGTTTATAAATGAAATAACGGAATCAAAGACTTCAGCTCCTCCGAATGGTGCTTCTGCCTGCTCGAGCTGAGGTTTGGTACTGGAGGCTCCTGCCCTGAGCACCTGGCCTCCTCCTTCACAGACTGGGGAAGACACCACACAGCCCCACTCCGGGGTGCCCCCAGGCTCTCTCTCCCATCACCCTTCATGTGGGCAGAGCAGAGAAGGGCAACTCCCCACAGCCACTGCACTGTGTAACCACTGGCACAACAGCTTCCTGGTGCCTCAGTTTCCCTGGCCTGCTTCAAGCCAGGAAGCTGGAACACCCTGGCATATTGAAGGGTTCTTAGATGCTATTTATTATTTTCAGGTTGCCAGCTTCCATTAGCAAATGGAAGTTTCAACCTGTGCACCAGCAGTCTTCTCTCTTCCCTTCCCTTCCCTTCCCTTCCCTTCCCTTCCCTTCTCTTCTCTCCATTAAAAAGCATCATTGGAAATGGAATATACCTTGAGAAAATACAAAGTTCTGGGAAATCAAAGAAGGGGAAGATCTAGACCAGCTCCATGGAATCTGTGTGTGTTGAGGAGAGGGAGGACTAGCAACATCTGGCGGGCATGCCGGAGAGGACACTGGTACAGATGAAAGAAGAAGAGAAAATGTTCCAGTAACAGATTGCTTGAAAGCACAAGATTTTGGTATAGCATGATGGCTAAAGGTAAGGACAACCTTGGACTGCTCTAATAACAAGATAAGACACTCATGTGAACCTGCAGCAGCAAAAGAGAGGCATTGTAGTATTGCTGCTGCAACAAATCACTTAATGGCTCAAAGTAACACATTTATTAAGGTACAGCTTTCTAGATCAGAAGTCTGATATGCGCCTCATTGCATTTAAATCAAAGTGTCTGCAGGGCTGCCTTCTTTTTTGAAGACTTTAGCCAAGAATCTGTTTCCTTGCCTCCCCAGCTTCTGGAGGCTGTTTGCCTTCTTTGGCTCACAACTCCTTCTTCCATCCTGAAGGCCAGCAACAGCTGTTCAAGTCCATCCACATCAGATCACTGTGGTGCCTCTCTCTTGGACTTTTAAGGGCCCACCCATATAATGCAGGATAATCACTCACTTTAAGGTCCTTAATTTGATCACACTTGGAAAGTCCCTTCTGCCCTGTGAGAGAACATATTCACAGGTTCTTGGCATTAGGAGGTGGTTATCTTTGGGGAGGTGTTTTTGTCTTCATGGCAGAGTTTTGGATCAAGAGTGACATCACTAGGGACGCCCCGAGGAAGAGCATGCTGACATCAGGAAGGAGGAAGGACTGGAAGGCAGGGACCAATTAGAAGATCTTTTTGCTGATTCCAGAGCGGATATGATTCTGTCCTGTGGGAAGAGGGGAGGCAAAGACAGAAGCCTTGTTAGAGCTGGGACAGACTCCCCGGGAACTGGCAAGCGATCAAGTGGAGCACAAGGAGAAGTGGAACAGAGGCAGAGGCACCATTATCCTCACAATCAATCTCACAAGATGATTGTGAGGATAATGGTGTCGTGTTGTCAGATGCTTTGGGTGTAGGAAAATAGCATCGTGATCCATTCCAGTTTGGATCTTCATATCTTAGTAGATAAATAATTTAATGTTCCCACTTTTAAATTTTGAGTGGGGTATAAAAGAGGAATAAAGATTCAGGACATAGTCAAGCCAGGGAGAGAAGTCACAGATGATTATCTGAATGGCAGGGGAGTGAGTGGTGTTGAGACGAAGTCAAAGCATGAAGATGGTAAAGAAGAGGTGACCGGACCGGGACAGACTGAAAAGGGAAGAGAGAGAAAGTAGAGAGTAAGATGGGGGAGAACTACAGACTATGAGGAAGACAGACATGGCAGAAAAAAAAAAAAGAGGCAGGAAAATCTACAGAGAGAGGAGCTGAGAAGAGGGCCTGCTCAGAGTTTTTGGCATGCTCCACGTCAATTTCCATTACACTTGGGTTGTGCTCACCATTGTGAGTTAGTCGTTTTTAAGATTGTCTTGGGAGACTTATTTGCATTCAGATAAGTTACTGTCCAGGCTTCTCTGTTTTATCAAGCTTCCAAGCAGACGCAGGGATCCTGAGGGGGTGAATTCTCTAGCTAGCAGGCCTTTTGGCCCTCTCAATTGTCTCTGGGAAGGAAGGTTCTTTCCCCCCTCCCTTCCCAGCACGCCTTAACTCGTGACCTGTGTTGACCCTGCAAATTGAGGCCTTCCTCAGAGTGTCAACGAAAAATGCAAGCACTAAATGACACCTGCGTAGGAGCTTCGGTAAGTCTCAACACAACTGCCAGCTCATGACTCCATTTTCCAGACAGGAGCACTGAGGCTTGGCTCGGGTCTAATTACGTGCTCAAGGTCACAGGTGGCCAGAGCTGGGAGAAACGCTACCGTTTCCAGATCCAGAAAGCAAATAGCGGACTGGACTAAGAAATATTGGCGGGGTCACTTATGGAGACTTCCGGATAACAAAGCATTGCCTCTGCTAAACTTGGGAGCCTTGTATCTCAGGGACAAGGGATCTCACTCTGAACCCTACTCCCAAGCTGACCCTGGCCCAGCAGGCAGGCGGCGTAAGGAAGGAAGCTATTGAGGGCAGGGTTTCTCCAGGCGCGGGGACCCCACGCGCTCGCCTTGCCCATGTACCTTCCAGTGGAGGAAATGGGAGCTCAGAGACTTGCCCAAGGTCACCAGGCGCCGGCAGTGCGCCCAGGACACCTACTGTTCCCGGAAGGCGCGGGCTGGCCAGCCCCGAGGGGTGAGGTCCTCCTCTTCCCTGCCCGCTCCACGCCTTCTCCCTGCGCGCCGGGCCGCGCCCCCGCCGCTCCCGCGCCGGGAGGGGGCGACTGCGGGGCCCGCTGGGGCTGGTGGGCTGCGGAGTCCCAGGGGCCAGGCTCCACCGGCCGGGGCAGGAGAGGATGCCCGAGGATGCCCGGTGAGCGGGAGCGGGGTCCCGCCGCCCGCCGCCCGCCGCCCGGGGCGCGCCCGTAGCCCGGCGGCCTCCCGCGCGGGGGCTGAGCCGGCACCGAGGGGGCGGCGGGAGGCGCGGCAGCGGCGGGGAGCGCGGCGGCGGCGGCGGCAGAAGCTCGGCTCGGCGGCGGGGGTGGCCGCTCCAGTCTGCCCGGGCGCTTCGCTCCGTCGCCGCCGCAGGCAGCTGGTAGGTGCGGCTGGTGCGCGGGGATCCGGAGCCCGGAGCCCGCTGGTGCCGGCGGGGGCGCGGCGGGGGCGGGGTGGCAGGGGCCGGCGAGGGGCTGGGGGGCTCCGGACTCGGGCGCCCGGGCTTTGCCGCAGCGGCTCGGGGGCTCTGGTGGTGGGTGGGCGGGCTGCTTCTGGGACCGCTGTGGGGTCGGGGCTGGTGCCCGGCACTTGGGTATGTAAGTGCTAGTGAAACGGCTGGTGTGCTTGCTGAGTCTGGGCGGCTGTGTGTAAGGGTGTGTGTGTGTGAATGAAAGAGAGGGAGGGAGGGAGGGAGTGAGGGAGGGAGAGAAAGGAGAGAGGGAGAGAGAGAGAGAGAGAGAGAGAGAGAGAGAGAGAGAGAGAGAGAGAGCGAGCGCGACGAACAGGCTGTGCATCTAGAACGTGTGTGTGACCAGGTACATGTGGGTTAGGGATGGTCCTGGAGGTGGAAGGATGGAGCGCTCTTACTGTGTGATTGTGCCTGTGGCAGGAGGCGCACGTCCAGGTAGGCTGTTGTATGGGAGAGTGGCCGGTGTGTGGGCGCGCCTTGCTGCATGGAGCGCTCCCGACACTGCGGTTGTCTTTCACAGAATCCAAGCCCAGACTCAGATGCATTTCCCCCAGCTTGCTGCTGTTGGCTGCCTCTGGACATGGTGGCCCCTGGCAGAGGTGGGGCAATCAGGGACACCGGCTGGTCTTCCTATAGACTGCAATGTTAAGGAAAGAAAAAAACGTTGGCTTGGTTTTTCATTTAGTCCATTCCAGTGAATAAAGATGTGGCATGAACCAAAGGTGGCTTTGGCTGGAAAGACACGGAGGCAAGTTTGCCCTCCTGGTCTTGACATTGCTGGGGTGACTCCCCAGGTCAGAAAGCTGTGGGTGACTGGAGGTGGGGGGTCGGGGGTTTGCCTGGCCCCCTGTGTGGAACATGGGCAGCAGTGATTGGGGACAAGTTGGTATGTGCTGCCGTGAATACAGGTGCTGAAGGAACAGGACCCTGGTGATGGATGCGGTGCCCTCGACTCAAGGAAAAACTCAGGACAGGCCAAGAGTCTCATGGAGTCCCCGGGTTCTAGGTAGTGAAGAGTATGTGTGTGTGTCGGAGAGGGGGTAGGGGAGAGGGGGAATTAGTGAAGAGCAAAGAGGCTGGCAGCATCCTCAAGTCATCTTTTAATCTTATCTTTATTTTTCTCCGTGCACCCTGATCCTGAATGAATTCCCGCTTGTGTTTGCATCATCTACCCTCCCCACCCCCGTGGGAAACAGCTTTATGATAAATGTTATTACACAGCAGAGCAGGTTATCATTTCACTGCAGCACATCAGAGCCAGCAGGAGCCGAGGACACTGGTGCTTTTGCTACCTCTGAGTTATCTGGAATTTACTCCTGAGGCCGGGCCTTCTAGGGACCACAACTGCCCCGTGGCCAGCAAATTCAATGTGTTTTCTCCCACTCAAGTTCTGCTGGAACTCCCGATACTGTTCATCTCCTCAGCTTCTTTCCCCCAAAACAGCCCTGGGAACCCCACCTACATGACCTGCTACCCCAAATCACTCCTGGTTTTCCCCTTGAACCACCAGCATCCGCTGCGTCCTTTTTCTGGGAACTGGTCACCTTTTTAGTTCTCCTCTTCCTTCATCAGTCACAGTCACAGTTTAATAGGCAGGTTTTATTCTTTTCCCCTCAGTTCTCTTGCATCTCCCCCCCCCCCCCTTCTCTCCTCCTAAATTGTGCTGCCACCACCTCATCAGGTGAAACCCATGTTCTAGGATTTTTGGAAATAGGAAATAGGAAATAGGAAAATAGATTGTGATCATCTATAGCATAAATAGAATATATAGAGATTGTGATCTATAGAATCTATAGAATATATATAAGTGAATATATAGAATATATATAGAGAGAATATATAGAGATTGTGATCATCGGAGAAGAAATGCAAAGCAAAAGCACAAAGAGAAGATCCCTGATCTTATCACTGTCTGACGAATAAGTTAAATAAATACTTGGGAAGAATCTGGACCTTCTGATAGTTGTCACATTATGTCCTAGGTCAAGTCTCTTGGCTTTTCTAAATCTCAGTTTATTCCTTTGTGAAATATGATGAAAGATTTCCACTAAAACCTAGTTGCTAGATCATTTCTAAGGTTTCTTCCAGCTTCAGAATCCTCTCATTGTCATTGATGTTCTTTGTGTTTAGCAAGAAACATTTCCCATAAAGCTGTAGGGTTACCTTCTAATATCTTACCACCTTAAAAAAAAATTCAGTTTGTCTCTAGGGAAAGGAAGTAGGCAAAGGGGAAAAGCGTGAAGATGGTGAAGATGCCCCATTGACTTAAGTTTGTGATTGAGTGCCAACTACAGATATCAAGCCTTAGAGTTGAAGGAATCTTAGATGTTACCCGGTCTCACCTCCCTTCCAGTGCAGAATCTTCCATGCCATTGCCTTTAGAAAATTGGGGGGGAAAAATGTGGCAAATCTAATTAAGATAATGTCACCTGACATTATAATTCAGGGCTTCTCAAACCTTTGTAGTCTTGACATTTGGGGCTACATAATTATTAATATTTTGCTGTGAGGGACTGTCCCATGCATCATAGGATGTTGAGCAGCGTCTCTGGCACCCATTTGATGCCAGTAGTACCGGTAAGCGCCAGTTGTAGCAACTAGAAATGTCTACCGACATTACCAAATGTTCCCATGGGGGACAGTCACCCCGCCTCAACTCCTGTTGAATCCAGTGGTAATTCAAACACAAGTCTTGTGGCCTTGTACACACATACCGTCATGCATTTTAATAAACGGATGGATTGCTGTGCTGCTAGCAGCTTTTTCACCACCTTCCAATTTGGCCACCCTCACACATTTACCTTTCTGCCTCCCAGTTTCTCATTGCCTTGTTGCTGTGCCTGGAAATGCTCAAGATGTTGCTGAAGGCTGACAAGCATTTCAGAGACAATATAATAATAATCCTAATTGCTCACATTAACCCAGCCCTTGATATGTGCCAGGCATGGTTCTAAATGCTTTCCATGGATGATCTTACTCAATCTTCATTAAGAATCCCAGGAGAGGTGCTTTGGTTCTCCCCATTTTAGAGATGGGGCAACAATCTTACGGAGGTAGACTCACATACTCATTCTCTCAACTGGGACGTGATGGAGCTGAAATTGGTTGGTAGGTTGTCCGACTCCAGACTCCATATTCGGAGCCCCCACACGAAACTGCCTTCCACAAATGGGACCTTGATATTAACAGGAGGGAATGATATAAACAGGGGTCTTCAAACTTCTCTCATTATGAGAATCACCTGGTGGAGTTGTTAAAACACAGATTCCTGATAGCACTTCTTATAGTTGGGATCCGGGAATCTGTGTTTTAACAACTCCACCAGGTGATTCTCATAATGAGAGAAGTTGGAAGACCCCTGATCTAAAACCTCATCTCATTCAATTGTAGAATCATGTCTGCAACCTGGAAGGCTAGAAACTGTGAGGTTGGCAATTGTGTTCAATTGAAGTGATGAGCTTTCTCCCTTTTGTTGTTCTTCTCTCTGTTATTCAGATTATTCAGAAATAGCTCCCAAGTGAGAGCCCTGGGGTCAGGGCTGGGTAAATTAGGGGAGAGTGGCTCAGAGGAAGGGAAGGATGTCCAAAAGGAGCAAACAATGAACAAGATGGTCCTTTTTCTATGAAGTTCTCACCATCATCTAAACCTTAGATGTCTCTTCCATTACTGAAGTTAAAGTTGTCATATTTTTATCAAATCCTCCCCTCTGCATTGCTCTTGGCTTGCCCTTTCATTCTTCCATTATGCATGCTGTTTTTATTCTGTAGAGGAAGTAGGAAGTGGTGTACCTTTGGCAAAGGCGAAAAGAAGGATGTAAATGGCCATCAAATAGGCTTATTGATGGGTAAGAATGTCTCCTTACTAATGACTAGTAAGCTTGAAAATCAAAGGCAAGCTCTAAGGAGGAGGACTGTTGCCTCTGAGACACTATATCAATAAATCCACAGGTCTGGTGGCTGCCAGTGAGTAGAGCTGCCAGTGAGTAGAGCCTTGGTTTTGCAAGCCTCTGAGTTTGGTTATGACAGTGGTTCTCAAACTTTGGTGACCATCAGAATAATCTGCAGGACCTGTTCAAACACACAATGCGTGGTCCCCACTTCTAGGGTTTCTGATTCAGTGCTTGTGGGCTAGGGTCTGAGAATTGCATTTCTAACAGGTTCCCAGGTGGAGCTAATGCTGCTGGTCCAGGACCACATGGTTAAGACCTAAGTAAGTGAAGCTCACAACCTGAGCTTATCCTATCGATATATAATAAAGAGATAGTGTGCAAATTGACCCTCATGCTCTCACAAGATGGTTGCCTATGACCAGGCCAGCAGGAAGGTTAGTGAGGGATGACCAAATGACTGAACAAGCAGGCTGTGTGCTGCGACCAGGCTGGCAGGGAGATTAGTGAGGGAAGACCAAATGACTGAATAAACAGACTGCATGGGGCAACCAGGCCAGCAGGGGGGATAGGGGCAACCAGGACAGCAGCGAGGGGGGGGGGCGATTGGGGGCGATTAGGCTGGGAGGGGGGGGCAGTGAGGGGTGACTAGGCCAGCAGCGGGGAGCAGTTGGGGGTGACCAGGCTGGCAGGGGGGTAGCAGTTGGTGAAATCAGGCCAGCACACAGAGGCAGTAAGGGGCCATCAGGCTGGCACGGGCAGGGGGCAGTCAGGGACGACCAGGCAGGCAGGCAGGCAGGTGAGTGATTAGGAGCCAGTGGTCCAGGATTCAGAGAGAGATGTCTGACTGCCGCTTTAGGCCTAATTCCCGGCAGTTGGACATCCCCCAAGGAGTCCCGGGTTGGAGACGGTGCAGGCTAGGCTGAGGGGACATCCCCCCTCCCCCTGCTGTGCACAAATTTCATGCACTGGGCCTCTAGTTTTTAAATAAAAGAGATCTTATTTTTAAGATAACTGAGCATTT